ACTCTAACAATGCATGCGTAGGAGGCAGTGTGACAAACCTAAAGATGTGTTATGGAGAAAGTGTGGATAATTTCTGACTTACCCTCGTATTTTACAACTACAACTGATCAACACTCAGGAGGCTACTAACAGCTGTCAGACTAGATCAGTCGACTCAACCACCTTCTGTCAATGACCACTAGTGTTGAAGCACACAATGGACAGAATAATATTTCATGAAATGCATGTTGACAGACTGTCGTTATAAAGTATATTAATATCATGCCACAGAAATAATGCTTAATGTAATATGTAACTATTACATTAAGCATACACATTCAATTATTTATTTAAAATTAATGAAAGATTTCAAAGCAATGTGTAAATAACTGCTGTAGTGGAGACCACTAAAATGAATGGCACCCAGGTCTTCAGAAAACCTGCAACACTTAAAAAAAAAAAGAGAGAGAGAGAGAGAGAGGGTCAGAGAAACTGTATTATGAATATATGATACAGAGACATCAAAATGAAGTTATTAACACCTGGTATATTGGATTTTTGGACTTCATCCATCGTCCTGGTTTTTAAGGTCCGTTAGACCCAACAGAATAGGTGTTTTCCTTCACCTGAGGACGGAAACAGATCCAGTTTCCGAAACGTCGTGTTTTTATTAGTTATCTTAAAAACCAGGACGATGGATGAAGTCCAAAAATCCAATATACCAGTGTGTTATACACCATCGTCAGAATCCTATAGTAACTACTTCAAGTTATTAAGCCCATACATAATTTATGAAACAAATGAACTGCAAAAATATATCTTATAAATTATTAAATGAGAAAAGAGCAGTTCTAGGATACAGATCAAGTGTGATCATCAAAGTGATGTTCTGAGATTCTCATGGCAGTGACTATGAAGTTTACTGTCTTCTGGGTTATGGTGCCATATAGTCTAGTAGCTCACTATCACCAATTCAAAGATATCCTACTTGGCAGACAGAAGCAGCATGTTCCTCTGAAATGGTGGTACCAGTCTACCTGAGTATGTGGTCTTGCATTGAAGAGTTAAGTCCAGGGTAAAGTTAAAGTTGTCTCTGTGCTTAACTAATTAAGCACTACACCATGAAAGCGTATGGGGGAGTGGATGTATAGAGCCACATTTTCTTGACCTTGGCAGTAGTTGGAGGTGAGTTGTCAGCTTAATGACCTGGCCACTTTAACCCTGGGGAAAGATTCCCTGGTACCCATTGGATAGGAGGTTGGGTGCACCACAGAGACAGTCTGGACAATGTGGAGAAAATTCTTGACCCTACCAGGACTTAAACTCCAAACCCTTGGTGGCAGTGAAATAGTGTTTCTTTCATGCAGTACAGATTTTCCAAAAATAATCCAGATCCTACTGTATTTTCCTAAAACTTCAGCCTCAGCAGGTTAACACATCTATTACTACATGACCATTTTATGAACTTTTCTGCATAGCAGGGTCCATCAATTACAGTATATCCCAAAATTCTCTACTTAAAATGTTTCAACATTTCCAAAATGGCATCTGTCTCTCTTGCTACATGTAGACCAAATTCTCGTTCTCTGGTAAAAAAAAAATATTCTGTCCTGTAAAATTTTACACAGCCTTCTACTCAAAATCTCTGCCACTAACAACTCTCTCCACATCTTTCTCATCAATATGTGAATTAGCAAATAATCATACTTTGAATCTTCACTCTCACTGTATGATTCTAATAAACTTCAATCTTGATCACTGACATCTAAACTTCCAGTCAGTTGCTACTCTGACGCAAAGCTGAACTCTTCATACTGTCAGTGGCCACCATAGTTTTGAGATAGACTCACGTTCAGTACATGAGGCGGAACAATAATAAAATGTCATTCTCTCTTGGAATGAATAAACAATATCAGGCTAGTCTTTTTGCTGTTAATGGACATTTTCAATTACTGAAGTTTTATCAAACTATCACACTTCAAAAAATTGTGCTGTTTCCTTTTCAGGTGATAGGATAAAGTAAGGAAGCCTATTCTGTTGGACTCCTTGGCATAGCTAGTCTCATGCCCAACATAAGAAAACTCTGAAATTACATAATGCTTAGCTTGATAATGCAGTAACAACTTCCAAGCAGCGATGAATGCTTCTATGATAGCATAACAAAGGAGAAGCTCTTGCCATACACGGTTTTTCAAAGTCTGACAATAGTTCAGACACACATTACCCTGATTCCATCCAGCCAAAAAACTCTCTATGAAACCTGAAGCAACAATCATAGCTTCATGGTGGGATAAACAAACTTTGTCACAAAATGAAGAGAGGAATGTTCCTTACCACGATTAGTAGTTATGCAACTTAAATAAACAGTTCAGAGTCTTGCTTTTCAGAGCATACCAAATGCTTAAGTTAGTCACATAACCTATACAGGCCTCATACTGAGCACATCAGATGATTCTGAGGGAGAAACCCTTAATGGCCTTGCATTATTGATATAAGTACCTGCAAAATTAGTATATGGGCACCAACCGTAGAGTGCTGGAGGATTAAATATTCCCTATTCCCATTCAGTAAAGGTTAACACCTGCCTTACCTCACATATCTACCTTTAGCCAGCATCAGGATTGCCAATTTCACCATGTTCCATTTGGTGCTTCCATCATACTGCATCAGGTTCAGGGCCATGGCAACATGCGAGTGGCAGTTGTCACAACACAAGTTATGCTGGAAAAAAGCAAATTACTGCTTTAGATTGTGGTCTTCTGGGTCTGATCACTGTGTAGTCTTGAAGATGGTTCTCAAAATTTTGAAGAAACATGCTGCCTCCATCTACAGGGTAGAAGATAGGGGCAGCATGTTCCTCCAAAATCTTGGTATCTACCCAACTTGATGGTGTTTTAACCCAGATCAAAATCTGAGTCTTTACTGCCATGAAAACCTCAAATCTCATATAAAATTACAGCTTCCCAACTTTTAGTCTGAATGGAGTTCACTTTATGACTGATATGAAATAAAATTAAAGAAACTGTCCATGTGTACATACAGATGCAACCTCTAACTGTAATCTTGATTCTTCACATGGGATACTGACTGTTAGATCCACTGTCTAAACAGAATTAAAGTCCTTGGGTTGAGATACACTTTTAGTGTTGAGGAAAAACCATGCAACCCGTATATCTGAGAGTTCAATGCAAGGATGGCAGGCTGCATTATCCAAAACTAATGGAACATCATGTTTCTGTTGTGTCATCTTTACAGTAAATGGTCTCATTTATACAAACGATTTACCCAAAACTATAAATTATAAAACTGTACCTATATTATTTGCAGACGATACTAGTTTGTTAGTTAAAAGTTCAAACTATGATGAGCTCTGTGTAAATATAAACATGCTTTTCACAGTACAGATGAATGGTTCAAAGTGAACCAACTTTCTATAAATTTTAACAAAACCCACTACATTCAATTTACAGCCT